AATGTTCATAATTATCTGTCTTGCTTCTTTTGGGATTCAGTGGCATTTTCAGCAAATATATATTTTTTTAAAGTTACCAATTTAACCGTTAAGTGTCCTAGTTTTATTTTCTATATGGCCCTACTTCAGTGAATCAGGCTATCATTACTTTAATACACCCTAGCTGCTACTACCTGTCAATATATATGCTTCAAAATAGGTTTTCATTTAAGGTGGACTAATCGATCGAAGTGAACACCTTGTTTTTGAAAGATGTTTCCATATAACAGAATGGGACATATCACTGTATTTCAGGACCAGTCAGCTCAAATCGGTTTTTTCCCTTCAATAATGTAAATGAATAAATTAACATTTTGCCCTTACTTTTGAGTGCAACAAAGCTTTATTTTGTCACCTTTATAGCACTTCGCATTTGATTAAGATACCCGAGAACAGGCCTTTGAGATAATAAATATCTCTAAAAGACGCCTAAAATCCAGCAGATTGTTTTGGCACTGGCATCATTGTCCTGTTGTGTGTGCTCCTCTTCTGCTTTGGTTGGTCAGTTAGATAAAGGATAGACCTGCACAGCCTTTCCGTAACGTTTAACCTCTGACTGCAGAGGTTTATCCAGGCAGAAAAGAGCTGGAAGATATACTGCGCACTCCTCAGGATATACCTCTCTTTGGCCATTCACTTGCTTTCCAGCAAGGACACTGACACAATGACAGGGTGTTTTCCCCTTGAAATGCAACGGACCCCTTGGGAATGGGAGGTTATTGAAACCAATGAAAAGTTCACATGACTACGTTCTGTAGAAGTGACCGGGGTGATGTGTTTTCTTCCAATGATGGACAAATATCCAAATAAATCCTTTGCTTATTTTTCTCATTTGACAGGATGCTCTTTTAAAAGTGATGACATTCGCCTTCCCAAACCAGTCTGGGTTATCATACGTTTACGTATTGGGGTTTTTATTTTTAAATGCACAAAGCATCAACACATTTAAATAAGTGCAAGCATAGCCTGTTTATTTGTCTGCCCGCCAGCAGCTTTATTCCCTCTCTTTCTCTCTCTCTCTCTCTCTCTCATTATTGTTGGTGCTAAGTAAAGCAGCCTTTGAGCAGCCGAGCATGAGCTTGCCCGTTGTCCAATCTCCATATTAAACACTGAAGGGAAAGGTCAACACCTCACACCTTAACAGTTATTGACAGGTCAGGAGGACGGAGGAGGGAGGAGGGAGGAGGGAGTGGCAGGTCACTGATACGGTCAGGAAAATGAAACTGTCAAAATATGCAGATTAGAGGGAGGATGAGATCATTGTTGAGGATGAGTGGTTGAGCAGATGGCACTACTCATAAGGCACCTGAAGCCAGACGCAAATTGCTGCACTCATGGACAGGTTCATGGTTAAACTAATCAACTTGTTTCATTAGCAGCAGCAGCAGCAGCGTGTGTCGATTAGGTGTACAGTTGAGAGTTTGGAGCAAGGACGCCAGTAGGTGCTGTCACACCTTCATCTGGCATGAAATCCAACATTTGTAGCATTAGAGGGATTCACAACACCTGTAACATGTCTTTGGTTAGAAGATTGGTCAGATCAATAGCGGCGTCTGTAACCCTTTTCAGGAGGAAATCATTTTCGTTGTAATGCTACGGTATCTGTTCTACAAAATCATTTTTCAAACAGCAAGGATATTGTTGCCTCCAATAATCCTTGTTGTTTTTTTGTAGCGTTTCATTCGTTACGAATGGAGGTGAAACATTTAGAAAATGAGGTGGAGGAAAAGCAATGGACCTTGATGATTTCTAACCAGGTCTGTTCACTTCTTCTTGAGCTCTGCAAATAAATTACTGAGTGAGAGGAAAGGAAATGTTGAACCTCAGTTACTGGAGCTCTCAGAAGTCCTTGGTCAGTGTGTTTAGCCGCATGTATAGAAAAAAGGGTCAGTGGAGTATATTAAAGTCACAGATGAAAAATAGAGACAAAGAGAAGGGGAAAATGTATGAAATATAAGAAATCATTGATCATGAAAAGGACGAAAAGGAGAAAGAGAGTTGGACAAGCATTTTTGAATGATGAAACAAGCCTGGATCATTACTAATACAATGTTTGCCTCGTTATGGCTTTGAAATGCCGACCACACATGCAGTGATTTGTAGGACAGATTCATATTTGCAACGTCTCTGAAAGCTCAAGAGTGCGTGTTGAATTGACATCATGTCAGAATGAATCATCTAATACAACAAGCCTGCTTCACGGCTGTGCCCTGCCCACACACTATTAGTATGAGTCCAACACATTACAACAACCTGGCTGTGAGAATATGAATAAGACGTTTTGACGATAGAATAAACATTTGATTGATCGGATGTTGTGATTGTAAATGTTTATTTCTACCCCCTGCAGATCCATCGATGCACCACAGACAGAAGACGGTGGTGAGGGACATGTGCTACCCGACAGAGATATCCAGCCTGATGGACTTTGGCACCCCGGACTGCTCGCTAGGCAAAGGTACGGTGAGGCTCCAAATATACTAGGTGTTGCCTTGGTGACAGCAGGAAGTGTGCACAGCGATTCATCGTGGCAGTTATAAGACACAGAGCTGTCAGCTTGACTGGGAGGATAACACTGGAGCAAAGGCCTGCGCGGGCTTAACGTGTGAGAACAATCAGATAACAGCTCCCTGTACCTGGTGACTCACAGCTCACAGCTAAACAACATGTTTTGTCACCCAATGCATAGCACAGATGCACAAGACTGGATTGACTACTTTCCGCAGAAAAGCACTTTACTTTGCAGATGGCTTTAATCTGAACAGAGCTTCATTGAAGCTGATTGCACCAGAGCTCGGTTTTTATCTCAAATGACAGCATTGTAGCAAGGCCAGTTATATTCTCCAATTACCGCCATCAGTTGGACAACACATTTCTTTATAAAGAGGCCTGTGTGGCTCGGGGTAATAATCTCTCTCGGTCTCTCTCGTGTGGAGTAATCAAACTGGCCTGCCTGTAATATTACACACCGCAAAAAGATATTGATCATAAAGTATATCGATCGCAACTGTTTTGTTGTTCACTCCTTTCTCTCATCCTAATCACCACTGTTATTCTCTATTGTTCTCACACCAATGCCAAACCCGAGTGTCTGCAGTGTAATTCTTGTAATAATTGTAACTCCAGTCTCTTCATCCCATCTATCCCTCTGAAGTCGACAGCGCTTGCTCAGCGGCTATTAGACAGGCCTCATGTCTTCTCCACCAACAATAGGCGGCGCTGACAGCGTTGACCTCAGTCGCTCATTCTCTTCTTCCCACAGTGCCCATGGCTGCTTTTAGTCCCCCTCCTCCTTTTTTTTATTTCACCTTCTTCTCTCTCAAGGCTAGCTAATATCTTAATACCGCTCAGCCCCGGCTCTCTATCAACGCTCCCCAGCACTGATAATGCAGACTGACAGGTCAACCGCGTGCAGCTGAGAGAAGCTGGAGCAATACAGTGTAGGGTAGAAAAAGAAGGATTTCTTCTGGCTTAAATGTGAGCAAATTAATGACATAGTGATACAGGGAGTTAAGCCTGAGAATAAGGACACTGAGGGCTGGAACATTTCAGACTAAAGAACTGTCAGGATAAAAGCAACGCTGTGAATAAAATTGAGTGTGGCTGAGAGGCGGGCTACAGCGTGACCTTGGAATTATGAAGTGCTACATTTGATACCAATTTTTATCTGATTGTAGACGCTGTAGCTCTTAAGACAAGTTAAAATCAGCTTTAATCAGACATGCTCAAGTATAAGTGGAAGTAATTAGCATCTCTAAAAGTTCTAATAATTTGGCTCCATTTGATATTATAACTGTAATGCTACAATGATGACCAGACAGAAAAACATACAGCTTCAATATGTAGATTAACTTCAATTGGGAGTTGAGCGTATGCACGATAGGAGAGATGTATTTCAATCTTTTGTCTCAGCTCTGATCAGTCAGAGAGAAACGAGCCTGGCAGTAATCCTTCAGGTGTCAGCCTGTGATGGACAGATCCATTGCCTCATGTGACAAGTATCTAGTTAGAGCACATGTGATCTGTGGACGGAGCTGAACACTGAGCGCCAGCCTCTGACAGGCAGGACAAATGGCATGCTTGCTCTGAACTGCTGTCACGTCTTCAAGTGCCAGAGGTTTAACTCGCCTTTTTTTTGCACAAACACTCACTCACTTTATGCATACACTCGTGCTTTAGTATGCTAGTTATGGCACTCAAGAGCTCATAAACCAAAAATTCCATTATAAGATTATATCCAGCCGTGCTCTGCAGGCTGAATTAATTCAGTTGCAGCCCTATCTGTTTTCCTTGCACCACCTGCCTCAGGGTTCAGGCCTAAAGAGCCCTGGCAGGCAAACAGGCCTTAACCTTATTTACTCTGCACACATCTGAGTTCCCATCTCACATGACACAGACTGTCCTTCCTCAGACAGGCAGAAGAGCTGTCCATGGAGAAATCCCTGCAGGGTTAAAGATAACATAGGGCAGCTCTTATTAATAATCCAATCTGAGTGTGTAGAGCAGTTTGGTGAGAAGCATGAACTTCATATCACATCACTGCTGTCATGGTCCATTTTTTGAGGCGTTTATATTGAAGTTGACACTTTGAGCGTTTTTATGTAGGGTTTACATTCCTACCTCCTCTGGCCAAAACACACTTTCACATTCAGGAAGTGAGTATTGTAAACTCATGTAGGCTACAAAGGCAGTGTGGGCTCAGAGGGAGCAAAGAGCAGAGTCTAACTCCACACGCTTTCCTCTGCTAGCTGTTGGCCATCAGGTGGAGTGAGAGCTCCATGGACTCACCTGGTTCATTACCTGAAGCCTGAGGTGCAGTTTGTATTCCCCTCCCCCTCCTACTGCTTACGTTTGTACACAAGGGGGGAAAAGATGAAAAGCAGGAGTGGGCGTGGGGGGAAAGTTGTCCTGGTTGCCACAGGGCGTGTCACTAAACAGGTATATAGAAAGTGGGAGCGAAAGAGAGGCACATAGAGAGGAAAGAAAGAAACTAAAGGAGCAGGAAAGGTAGCCGAGTGGCTCCCAGGAGACGACTTCCTAGTAACCTGTCTGGGTGGAGCCTCACAGGCTGGGAGCGGCCGGCTGTGGTGGTGCATTCTGAGGGTTCGTTCACCGGTCTGTACGTATACAGTACGTGTGTTTCCTTTTTTTTTACCTGCTATGAGAGCTCAAACCACAGTTGACAGTGGAGTCGAGCGGAGCCTGTGCTGGAGAGGACATGAGGTCCGAGAAGGAGGAGGGGAAGGCCGGTGAGTGACAGACAGAAAAGAAGATAGAGACGTTGTTTTTGTGTAGGCCATAAAAGTGGCTTGTGTTTGCGGTGTGAGCGAGCTCAATTTCACATGTGGGTGTGTATGGGTGGCTGCTTGGATTGTATGAGAGGAATTTGAGTGGAATGAGAAAAATGTATGATACATAAACAGTCTTGGAGAATAAATGTATTCAGTAATATAGTATATATATAGTCTAATCAAGTACAATTGTGTACAAATATGTCTGCTTAAATTATGCCGTACTGCCATACAGTACTACATATCAGATATCATCTAAATGTACTCATTTTTTTAATATAATACATTTTGTACCTAGCAAACAGTATGTGAAATAGTGCCGGAACGATTACAAGTGTTATTGAATAATCTTCCTTTTATTTTTCATTAATCACTATATTGTTGAGTTCCCAGAGTCCATACTGAGGTTTTAAACTTATAAAAAGTTTCTTAGCCCACAACCTAAAATGTAAATAATGTAATATTGTAGAAGACTGAGAGAACAACCTATTATATGAAGAATAGCTGGCAATTTTCTGACTATCAATTAATCGATTAATTTATCTAGAGTTTCAGCTCTAATGCGATCTAAAAAAATAAGCTTAACGACATATACATCATGCCATATAAAACAATAATGTCCTGAAAATGTTCCAAATGATATATTGAATACCAGACAATTGTGTTTATGTTTTATTTTCACGCAGTTTAAGTAAATAAACATTGCCTCTACCATGGTTCATTTGTTTACAATAATATATATTGAAGGTTATTTAGCATGATTAATGTTTGTACTCTTTGGCACAGCCCTTTACAGTACATTAAGTGCTGATTTATTTAAATCTATTCCATAGCAGAGACTTACGTATTGTTTTAACTTAAGATAAGAACTATATGCTGACCTAGATATGACATGTTCATATAGATAACATGATAATCTGTTAATCTTTTATAATCATTGTACATGAATATAGTGGTATTTGGTGAGATACTGTACAGTGTAACTGATTTTAGTGGCTTAACAACAAATACTAAAGCTCTTATAATCTAAGGGAAAATACTACTGAGGGAAAATAATATATCCATTGGATCTAGTGTTGTCATTATTCTCTGAACAATGCATATTACCCAGTACGTGTATTGTTGGTAATTGAAGATGTAAAGAGAGGGCTTGATGGCGAGAGGGGGCCCACTGAAACTCATAGATAAAACATCATTATTTTTAATGTGTGGTTGGCTCTACCAGTCTCTTCATCTGAACGTGAGAGGGGGTTCAAGCCCAGATTTCTACACTGAAAGTAGAGATGATGGACACGCTGGTGTTGGTGTCACTTGAGGGACCCACCATTCAAGACTTCAAAGCTGAAGTGCTAATGGGTTCTGTAATGGGAATATGCTCAAAGGTCTAGAAAAAGACATTTGGAAAGGGAGAGACCGGATGATCAAGCAACCAGTGATTTGCTGTATTCATTTTTGATGGACCCGTGATCAGCTGCACTACTGGAACTCTGTATACAGTTTGTGACAGTTGGAAAGTGTCACTGTGTTACCATGGAAACATATAATGTTAACTGTTTCGAACGGTTCTCTTTGAGTTTTAAGCTGAAAAATAAACACACAGCTTGTAAAGTCAACAATAGAAGATTATTCTCTTTTTAACTTCTTCAATTTTACATTACTCACTGAGTAATAAGCATATGTAAATCTGCAAATTTTCTTACTTGCTCAAAATATAAAGTATCTTATAATGGCAACCATATAATCAGTCTGGCAACCAAAACCTGATGACTTGTTGCGAGTCTGGCAACCTCTTTTAAAAGTTAGCGTTCAGCCCCGGGTCCTCTGTTAGTTATCTTTATTAAGATGTTATGAAGTTCTCTTGAGTCTGTTTGTGTATATGTGTGTATCTATGGTTTGAGTCGAAGTGGTGTATGAATGAGAAGAGTTTGATTCCACTGGGTTTTGCGTGACTCCTACTGCAGCCGAAGTACCCTGAGGTCACCACTCAAAACTGCAGAAGATAATGAGTTTTACTAATTTGCAGTGCGACAGACAGATGGTAGAGTCATTATAAACTAAGATCTTTGTTTTAAAGTCCTTCAACACGACCATAAGAGACTAAATGTTGCACATCCCCATGTAGAGCATCATTTTGTTGTTGCATGTTTCCAAGAATAATTTATATTTAGACTCTGTTTGAGCTCAAGCTTCCATGAGCTAATCAAAGACATTTTCACTATGTTAGGCTGAATATTAATGAGCTAAGTATTTATTGCCCTTTTTCCTTATTCAAACTCCTCAGTAAGGTTTTTAAAGTGCCATACAGATGCTTTAGAGGCAGCTTCAGGCCTGATGTGGAGTTATTCTGCTTGGGGACATGGGGAGGCCCTTTTTCAAATCATGGAGATTTCTAATCCTCCACAGAACAGATCCCGCGGATTCTGACAGATGTTAATTCCCCACTACAGTTTCAAAAGGGACAATGTGGCCTTTGGCATTTTGGTCCTTACTGGCTTATGCAATTTGTTTGAAATCAGTTCGGTTTTTGCTTTCATGGACTGTTACGTCCCCACTAAGGTCTAGGGCAGTGGTTCCCAATCTTTTTCTGTCAGGCCCCCCCTTTGGAAAAAAAAAAAGTCGGCCCCCCCAACACAAGTCAGGCTCAGTGGCGGCGCCAGAGATTTATTTTGGGGGTGCTGTGGGGTAGCTTGACGTTTCATAGAGGGTGCTCAAACATTTAGGGTTTCCCATTAATGTACCGGTCGCTACAGTAGAATTTTCGACTGCAACACTCCCCACGCATATACACAATGTCCCCGCGACTGTTACAATGAAGGCTCGATAATCAGCTCACGGCATAGTAGGTGTAAGCAGGGGTAAAGTGCTATTTTTGGGTCCGGGGGCAAGCTCCCCGGGGAAGATCTATTTTTAAATATTTAAGTTGAAAGCATCAATCTGGTGCACTTTGAGAGCAAAATGAAGAGATCTATGGATACCTCTCTCAACACCCATATGAAACAACACACACACACACCAAGTGCTATAGTTACTATGAAGTAACTGGGTTAGTAAAATAAAAAGAGAGGGTCCAACGATAACTCACGGACGTAGTTTACAAATCCGCCCCCGGCATAACGCAGCGACCAGCGATGCTAGGAGACGAAGAGCCGCACCGGGACAAGACACTACACCGGTACACCGAGGAGTGGCGGGCACGTAGGACCTTTGGGGTGAAGAGTTCAGTGGTCACTAGTACGGTACGAGCTCACTATACGCGTGTCGCTTTATGTAGAGGAACACGATGATCGACGAACAATGTTTCCTCGCTACTCCGGATTTTCCTTGGGATCTGAGATGACTGCCAGTTGAAGGTAATTCCGATAAAAATCGACTACCACAGGAGGGCTGCAAATGGATAGGACTCTTTTCAGGATTATACGCGTGAGGTCACGTTAGGTAGGATCGAGGTTATTTACCTCCTTGTTCTCTGTGCCTGACCGTGTAGCACAGGAGTTGCATCTGTAAACTCAGCCGTGGACAAATTAATTTGCTAGTACATGTGTCTACATCAGCCAGAGAACCCTGTCTAGTAGGGGGTCGACCTTGCACGGTAGTGGACCATAGAAGTGTAAACCCGAATGCAGAGAGTCGCGCGAAATTAGTGATAGGGGAATTAGTGTTGGTAGACAGCTACTCACGATTCGTCGTAAGAGCGTGGTCTTGTGCACCCTGTACTACGATAATCGTCAATGGAGTGTCAAAATACCGCAGGGGGTCCGACAAGAACATCCATTTTCACAGACCTTAACCGAATGATGTTCGCCCCGTTCACGGCGGTTCTAGGACGCGGGGGGACCCCCGCGTTTCCGGTACTGTCCCCGCGCTCTCTGGTCCTCAACTTTTTACCATAATTTTTTTTTTTTTCTAATTTTATTTTAGATTAAAGTTTTATACTAGTTTTATTATACTATGTCATGTCATGATAATGCGACCAGAGACAAAGTAATTTCGAGCGGACACACACCACTTTGTCGGTAAAACACACGAGCGCTCGCTCTCTCTCGCGTGGCCATGGCCCTGCTGAGGCACCAACAATCGAAGACCACGATCCTCGATGCGATGCCTATATGCCTCAAAAAAGGTTGTTGTTCACCTCTTCTCGGGAGAAGTCTGACTCTCGAGTGCACTGATTTCCTGAGAGTCACAATAGGTCACCAGTTGCAAAACCAGTGGTAATTACTTTGGTATAATATAGGTCCGTGTGCAAATATACTAGTAATTTCCAATATTTTTTTATTTTATTATGTATTTTGTCCATACTTATGATAGCATGACTGTCATTTTTGTTCTATTTCATTTCCACTCATTTTAGGATTTC